GACTTATGCAACAAATTATGCACCACTGTATAGGTATTATCGTATACATATTCAATTAATCGTTTAAAATCTTCTTTTCAACAGATTCTACTTCGTAGCATTTTACGTGTGGGTACAAACTTCTTGGCTTGCGTTCAGCAACACAACAATGGATGTTTTTATCACATTTTTTCTCACTCAGTGCAAGACACAGCTCTCTATTCTCAGGTGAACGATTCTCTAGATGTAGTTTATAGGCAACCGTCACAAATAAAAGGTTAACACCGAATGTTTATGCGTTCACTTTGCAGGTTAGATCTAGAAAACATTGTTCAGAAGAGTAAGGAGGAAGCATTGGAGTCGAGGAAAGATTTAAACGTTGTTTTGGAGCGAAGATTTCGAATTGTTTTGTTGCATTACGATGAAATTATTAAGTAAGTTATGGTTTACATTAGTTAGGTAGTAGGTACATTTCACTTGTTATGTATAAAACGTAGGTAGTGGTAAGTACATCAGCACTAATCAGCAGTTTAGTGTCTCCTTAGTTCTGTTTTGTTGCATAGATTAAAATAGTACTTATATTATTATCTACCAAATAGGTACTAAATATTTCTGTCTAATTTCTAGTTCTAATTCTCGATGTCTTGGACTATTATTTACGATATTTCTTTCGAAATTAATGCACTTAATAAATAATGGATGTTCATAAGTCAAATAACGTTTTTGAACTTTTAAGATCGTGGCTTATAGAAATGGTAATGAGTTTACTAATTTGCAAATAGGTACCCTGTACCTTCACTTTCTTGGGGTGAGCTAACCTCATGACTTTTAATTGGACCGCTGCGCGTTGTTCGTCGGTCATAAAAAGTCTTTTGAGTATTATGCTCTGGGTATGGCAATATTCCCATAGACGTGATTCTGCCAAGTCCACATCCACATAGATAACTGGCCAAAACTGTGGATATCACATTTTATATTAGGTATGCACCACTGTATAGTTGTCTACCTAACTTACTACCTAAATCAGGGAATGGAAGCCTCAAGGGAAAATGTAGAAAATAGTGGAATAAAGAGAACGTTCATTTAGATTTTCAGGTGTAATTCAAGAGGTATTTAGCGGCGCTGTGTTGTATCAATTTTTAGTGAGTGGTTGGATAATCTGCACTACAGCTTACAGGACGGTCAATGTAAGTTGCGCCTGAATACTGAAAGGCTATGCAATTTTAAGTTGTGGTTTAGTTTCTGGATGTCTTTGTATGTTAAATTTTAATCTTAAGTAGGTACGTGGTGGAGATGGTTGTGGTTGCTTAAACTGTCAAACACCAAGCGGTCACCGGTGACCGCAACCTATTGTTCTATAATTGTGTCTACAAAACCGGTACTCGACGAGTTAAAATGCATTTGCAAATTAATGAGTTACTAGTCTTTATAGGTATATACAGCCAACGAAAATAAAGTTTTACTACGTTGATGTTAGAGATTAGAGTTCATTTTATACATTAGGTAGTAAATAATATTAGGATAAAAGTGGAATACCCGACCTGGGGATAGCTAAAGAAAGTATCGAACCGTACGTTCTCTTTCAGATAAACCCCATGTCAGTGGAATTTGTATCAATGTTGATGTACATGTGCTGCATTCTCACAGAATTATTCATATTTTGTTTTTATGGGAATGAAGTTACACATGAGGTGAGTACATACCTACCCATATACCTAACTTGGTTATTTTTTGAGGTGGCAATTTCATACAATTAGGTACTTCTCCGCCTTGGGTGTAGCGAGACAGAATATCTGACTCTTACTGACTTAAAAATTACGCCGTTCCTACTCCGACTTCGAGCCGGAGCCGGAGCCTCATTATCAGGTATGGATGCTCATGTCAATTTAAACCAACCAATAATATTGGCGGCCAACTTTTCTAATAAAGGAAAAAAAGTATTCAAAGATCGTTCCAGGTGCAACATCACTGGACTCAAGATGGTTTTAAGTCATCTATTTGTAAAAAAGGCGGTATGAGCGTATCTTTACAACGGCACAATAATTTACATCGTAGGTTTAAACTTAGCTACACAGACTTAAATCTGACTTCTACTTTTAAACGAACCTTCGATCCTAAAAGTACGAACGAACCTAGGTACATTCCTTCCTATTTCATCATGTAACTTGCTATATTTTTCTTTTTAGAGTGAAAAACTCATAGAATCCGTATACGCTTTGGACTGGCTGGAAATACCAACTGAGTATAGACGTGCTATTATTATTTTTATGGAGAGAATAAAGCGTTCCATAAACCTCGTGGCGGGTGACCTAATACCGCTTTCTAACAGCACTTTTGTTTCGGTAAGTAAAGGAAAATATCTTGAAAATCTTACTACCGTAAGGAAATCCTGTATCTAGGTAGGTGCCTAGAACTATTCCGAGAGAAGTCATTCGATGATTTTCCCCCTTAAAAAAAAGAACTGCTCTTTTTTTCAACTTTGTCTTTTTTTCAATCATTATCTCTACAATGATTTAAAAAAAAACAGTGCTGAAGTTGAAGTTTCATAGTGTAACTTACATTAATCTACTCCAAACGCTTTGTTAGTCTGGTATGGTAGTCTATTTAGTTTTTATCTTATTATCTTGTTATTTACTGTACCTACTTAAGTACATATTTCATTTAAATTAGGTACTTAGTTACCTGAGTATTTGTTAATATTTTTTTTTTATTTTAGGTGTTGAGGAGTTCGTACACGTTTTATGCGTTTTTGAAAAACACAAATTAAAATAACACAAGAACCTAAATAGGTTATTATTCGCTAATAATAAGTACAATTAAGTTTAAAACCAAAGTCATAATAATCTTAAAATTATACAATTTTTTAGTATTAATAGTTGTATAAAATAATATTGAATAGATTCTTATCTAATGCAAATATAATTTAGATTGTATTATTTTAATAGCAGGGACGTTGAATAAATACTAAAAACTTCTATACTAAAATAAATACTAAAATCAATTCTATTTTTTTTACTCAAAAGCCACATATTCAAAAACAAAAAGTTAATTTTGACGTTTAATTCGTGACGTCACATACTAGGGCTGTGAAGTTCGAACGCGTTGGTGCAAAACCGATATCGATAGTTTTTTATTTTCTTTAACTAACGTACCTTTAGATTGGCAAGTCCTTAAAAGTTTAACATTCTACAATAATAAAGTTAGATCAGAGACTCACCCGTGTGTTATGCAGTTGCGTTGCACTGTTGCCCCAATCAGCCGCAAATATAGAGGTACAAAATGCAGCTTTAACCATGGACTGCAAAACGATTGGGTTCTGGTCCATATATCGATCAAATATTATTATATTTTCGCTAAAAGTCATATAAAAATAAATACAACATTACGCTTGCCTCCCATTGTAGTAGGCAGAGATAATGGAACGCTAAATGAAAATGAATTAAGATTGAATACACCCCATTTGCTTGATTCGCCAAGAACCAAAGTATTCGACATAGCCCAAAGGATTAGTGCGCGGGCCAGTCACATTTGTTGAACCACCGATAAATAACAGTTGGATAACCGGTCTAGACCGCGTGTAGCTTAGGTGCTTCGCCAGCTTGGTGAAGTGACGGAATCCGCAAGATGACTGGCAGAGGACGGATGAGAAGAACTGAAGACCGAGCTCAATGGCGTGTCATTGGAGACGCCAATCGAGTGTCATTCCCATTACTGTCCATAAGATTACACCTTGGAATGAGCAAAAACTTTAGGTGACTTTCAGAAGTTTCTTTTTGGTCTAATTATTTATTTATTTATTTTGGTCTAATTAAAGTAAATAATTTTGACTTATTTCATTTTTTATGTCCCCATTTGCTTTATAATTATGAGGTCATGGATATATATAAATATTTATTTTCATATTAAATAAATAATGTATTATCGATATTAATGTTGTCACTATTCTCTATTGGATTTGGATGTCAGGTATGGGATGACAGTTGACAGTACTACATTTTGACAATTCATTCTTACTTATTGACGTTGTTGATTGTCTTCTCTCTTCTGACGAAAGCGTGTTGTGCTAAAATAATAGAATTCTTAATATATAGTGCAAAAATACAGGACCATTTAGCAAAAATGTTTCGTCATTTTCTTGCATTTCTGTTAATAAATTCATGTTATCAAAGTTTGGGTAACCCGATCAATCCCGTTGTTTCTACAAAACAGTTATTATCAAGTTCACTCGCGACGCTAGCATCCAAATGCGAAAATACTATTCTAAGCAGTCAAATAGCAAGCAAAATAAAAGATTGTAATATAATCGTGCCGCCTTATAAGAAAAAACAATTTCAATGTTTAATATTCCTTGACATAAATACGCAATTATGCTCAGCAAAGTTAGTGGTAAACGAAGAATCTCTAGCCAAAGTGAATGAGAAACAGGATGTGAATGCTGTTTGCGCACTGGCTAAAGAGTGGGTTTTTACAAATGTGTCAGAGTTCGTGAACTACAAGGAATCTGCTGAGAAGTACTTCAAGCTTCCTGCTACTTGTGGAGAGGTATGTGGGGAAGAGGACACAATGAACGATGCCAACTACTATTGTAAATATTACAAATGGGGCTTGGAACAGTTGAAGGTCCAAGTTGAGTCTACAGTGGCAAATAATGCGAAAAATAATGCAGTTGCACCACCAGCTGTTTCAGAGCAAGATGTGAGTGCTAAGGCTGATGTGCCTGCGCCTGCTAGTAACCCAATTAACCAGGAAGCGGAAACGAAAACATGGAATGGACAGATAAAGCAGACTGACCCAGCAGTGAGTAAGTCAACTCAAAAGATTGAAGTTGCAAGCTCTGATATTGAGGTTGTGAAGCCTGAGACTGTAGCTAGTAATGATCCTTCTAAGCAATCATTGAACAGTGAGATTGCAGACAGTGTACCTAAGAATGAAGAATCAGATCCCAATGTGGACAGAATGGAGGATCCTGTTATAGCCCCACCAGAGAATATCCTTCCCAGTAACAATAGTTCCACTAAAACAGTTGTAGTTAGTGAAGAGAAACCTGTCCTCGCAAATGATCCGTCCCTTCCCGATACTAGTAAAAATCTGCCTGTCAGCGATAAGAAACCTGATGCTGTACTTGAAAACCCAAAAGCAAAACCTGTGCCTGATACGGATGAGTATGCAGGTTAGTCCATTTTTACTTTAAAATTTTTGTCTATTGGCTAATGTCAAGACCTCTGTTTCTAGATTTAGCTGCTAATGATAAAATATTCATGAAAATTCGGAAGAAAATATGTTTAATTTTGTTAAAGCTAATTACAAATTGTTGTGGTCCAGAGGTTCAATACGCCAGCTTCGGGGATTTGAAACTAACCAACAGGTTTGCAAAGGCAACCAAATGTGACTTTTTCCGAATCATATGTACTTTCTAAGGCTATGTAGATACCACTGACAAACAGTGAAGGGATATATTGTGATAGAACCTGGATTCTTCTAATTTCTATTTTTAAGTCTGAAATTGCCAACCCGCATTGAGCAAGCGTGGTGATGAATGCTCAAACATTCTCCGAGCAGGAAGGAAGAGTATTTTGCTCAGTAGTGGGTACTTATAGGCCCTTGATGTTTATGTTACAAATAGGTGTTTATACTTTATAGATATGTTGTTGAGGCTGGCCCCAAGTAATAGTTGTACTTCGTAGGTAGGTACTAGTTCGCAGTTAGTTATAGGTTAGTGAATTAGGTAGTTAACTAAGTATGTTGATTGAAATTTTTTATTGCTGTTTAAATTAGCTATGGTGTAATAAGAAATAACTACATATATAAAATTTAATTATTTTTCATGAAGGCCACGAATTTGATTGTTATCAATTAAAAAGAATTCATATTTGTCAAATGATTGATCTTTGATGTTTATCACTTTTGTACTAATTTTAATTTAACAATATGTCCTGATAAACACATTCTCGGCTTGTTCTGAAATATTTTTGGTGGTATTTAAAATTATATTCAGTGTGTTATCTGAAATATTTGGAGAAGGAGGGTTGGACGGATACATTTTAGTAAAAGTTTCTTGTTGTATATTATTTTATAATACCTATAAACAAATGTAATGCTTCAATTACCTAGATACAAATCTTTTAAAAATATTCAGCATATATTTTCATGAAGTTAACAATCATTATTTTAGGATAATCTTGTATTATTCATCAAATAATTAATTAATTTTTATAAAGATAAGGTTGTCTACCTATTCTTTACACTGAATATATGTCAGTGAGTAATAGATAATGCTAATACTTAATTTAGTGTACAATTTACAGCACAGAATTATCTTTAATATTTTCTTTACTTATTAACTATTTGGCTCAATAAGTAATCACAGACACTAATTCGTTTTTCTGTAATGGCAGGATGTCTTCTCTTCTTATAAAAGAATGAAGTTATCTATTTAATGTTTAGAACTCAATATAATTGTTTCTAACATGTAACATGTTTTATACTTCTACAGACTCGGATGGTAATGACAATGTGGGCGATGAGGAAGCCGAAGATCCTGGTTTGGATATCAAGTCAGAACAAGACACAGGAAACCAGCAAACATTTATCAGAAACAAGATATTAGTGCCTGCTCATGAAGCTGAAAATTCACAAAAAGGTAACCAAAGTTCGGCTTAATTTGTTGATATATTGTACTGAAAATCCCCTTAATGTTCATACAAAATTAGTCTCTACACATCGGAAATAAGGTCTATAATGGAGTTTGTGAAGACCAGTCTTGGGTTTATATGGATAAAGAGACTGCCTGTGTTGTTTTTCTAAAGGGCAACTTTACAAAGTGCCTCATTGTTTTAGTGCATATGGCCAAAATGTCTCAATTTCAAATTGAGTCATGATTTGTTATTTTTTCGTTTTATAAATTTGTAATTACCTTACTAATGCGCAAAAACACCACTCAATTTTAAGTTGTAATTACATTGATACTCAAAAAAGTTGCGATATTTTTTAACTCAATTTTAAAAATTACGAAACAAATTGCTATCATCATCTCAAGTGTATGTCGATGATCTCATGTCACGATACATTGAATCGTTGAATGGATTAGAACTTAGAAGTATTTATAAATAATTGGGATGAACCAAAACAAAAGTGAAGGTAAAATCTACTAATAGAGTACATGATGATAACAGCTGCCTAATAACTGTATAAATAATTCGTAAATTTAAACCTTGTACAAAATTTTGTAGAGGTAAAATGTGAAGGCTTTCTACATAGCTTTGTAGGTAGTAAACTAGAATTTGAAATAGAGGTTTATAGTTTTGCACTTAAAACAATTGGCTGAGTAGCAAAAATACTAGTTAAGATTTTTTTTTGTTCTGTCGCTGTGAGTTACCTAAAATTCATTTTAGGGTGACTCATTGCGAATAACATTGTGCAACTTAAATACAAAAGAACTTGTTCCACTCAATTTTTACTGCTTATGAGTCCCATTTACTTTACCATTCAAGTTCATTACCGAGAATTAAGAAAACCCAATAGTTAATACCTACTTACTAATTATTAAATCTAGGTCTAGGAATAAACCTGACCTTTCGCTCCAGTTGCACTTTCATCTATTTGATATTCACAAAAACGATATTTCAATCTTTTAAATATTTATACAGTAAATTGCTACCGAGATAAGATTATTCATGTTTGTACAACTATGTTTTTTAGTTGTGCAATCGACCACGCATTTGTCTATTATTTGTATAAATTGAATGGAAATCAATTCAATGATTATCATCTTGGCAAAGAATTGTATTCGCAATATAATTTGAATGTTTAATGATACTATTTTTTATTCATGTCAGTGCCTCTTTTGAGTGCTCTCAAGTATGACAGTCAAGTATGAGCACAATTTTTACATCCAATCTATAAGTTCAGTTAGTAAGTTATCTGTCAGTACTACTATAGATAGAATTATGACCTAATTCTATACTACGTACAAAATGTGTGTAGAGTTCTATCTCTAGCAGCCAAAACTCCCGAGCGTACCTACGGGGCGCGTCGCATTCCGCGCGCGCCGCAAAGAGCCATCAGAACACCACGGATTGGGTCCAATAGGGCTGATGCCGATACGGAGCCGCGGAGAACTTAACGGGTTACCAGGGCTCCGGCTCGAAGAGCAAGAGTAGGATCGGGGTGGTTTTTAGTCAGTAAGAGTCTGACACTCTCTCCCGCCTCACATAGGCAGGTGAAGTAATTCGATGATTTTCACCCCTTAAAAAAAGTAGACAAAGCTACCGACTAGGGAATGCAATACCGAGACCGATGAACTAAGGATTAATCCCGTTCATAAAATAGACGGGATGAAAATTATCAATCAGCCGGTATTACTGAAAAAGACAATCTCAGTAATTTTGTAAATATTTGTTTCGTAGTTTAGTTAAGCAATTTAAAAACTAAACTATTCTTCAATAGGTTTTGTTTTTTGAGAAGTCTTAAATAGTGCATTGTTATGGCTGTGACTCAACTATCTAATGATGTTATTGTAGTCTGCTTTGCATTTTTTGAATGCACAAAAAGATATTTCATAGGTATTGTGATTCTCTTTCTATCCAACTAATAAATAACTTTATAAATGCAAATGCTTGAGCTGTTTATGGATGTGTGTACGTTTATAAGTTACTAACAGCCCGTCCCGGCTTCGCACGGGGTAAACAATTATTTATTTTTGGAAATTTGGATTGTTGTAGTGACATAACTACAATAGTTGGACATATGCTACCGCGGAGTTTTTTGTAGACATTATGATGTTGTTCAATATTGTTGTACATTATTTTGTTCTATCGCTAATAGTTTCGGCAGCGCATTCGACGAAAGACATTTTAAGGCTCATTTTTCTACACCTTCGGTTACTTACATTGTTCAAATTTTTCCAAGGATCCCTATTTTTTTTTTAATGAAATGTAGCCAATGTCAAATTGGAAGAATGTAGCATACTATTGGTGAAAGAATTTTTTAAATCGGCCCAGTACTTTTTGAGCCTATTCGTTACAAACATACAAAAATAGGTACAACTCTTTCCTCTTTATTATAATAGTATAGATAACCATTTTAATGCAAAACTACTGAATGTAATTGGCTCAACTACAATCTATCTCGATTATAGTCTGGAATAATCCACAAGCAGCACGATCCACCCTGATTCCTGCCAAAGTTTTTTATGAAAAATAGTTTTTTTATATCTGTTCATTGTACTTATTGTTATGTTTATTATTTCACTCTATGTTGAACTCCATACACGACTCTACCCGTACATGTTTATTCAGGTGTTAATAATATAGTTGCGCAAATAGATCTATTTGTAGGTTACCTAGTCTATAGAGTTTTTTGCGTCGTTGAATATTATAAAATGTCTTTCATAACGGAATGTCAGTTGAAAATTGTACACGGTGATAGTAATGACTTTGAACTTGTTATTATCATTTTTAAACCATATGGGCATTATTTGTATTTTGTACTAATTGTCTTTAGTGTACATCACATGAACTATTGCATAACGTTATAGACTTACCTTACCCTACTACCTACGTATTGTTCAATTAGGTTTGTTTTTATATGACAAGGCGATTTTATTCTAACAATCCATGATCTTTTTTTAGTCTAGTGCCTTTACACAAAACATTATGTTTCTCATTAGCTTAAAGGTCATTTGCAAACTTTCATCATCATTTTGTCAGTCTCAAGACGTCCACTGCTGAAAGTCAAAGTCAAAACTTGACTGACGTTGACTGCAGAGTTGGTACGGTGGCTGGGCAACCGGCTGCCTTGCAACTTCAATTCCCGCACGGAACACTTTGTGTGATCCACAAATTGTTGGTTCGGGTCTGGGTGTCATTGTGTATGTGAACTTGTATGTTTGTAAACGCACCCACGACACAGGAGGAAATCCTAATTTGGGGCTACGTTTAAAAAAAAAAACATTTTTTTAATTATTCTTTAATTAGGCACTTTTGAAACGTCAAAGATTGAATTGTCCGTCTGTCTGTCTGTCAGTGAAGCTAGGCTAGCTCTTCTGAACTTGGTCTTTCCCAATATCTTCCAGATATTTTTTTGTTCACAAGTTTTTGTTTCATTCGCCTGCCCCAATGTTTATTAGCTTGCCCCGATGTTGATAAATTACAGACCGCATCTTGCAAATCATTTTAATACGTGTTTTATTATGATTTTTCAGATTTCTTCCCCAATTCGATGCCAGATGGTTTCTCAGAAGAGGACAACGACCACTTCTTCCCGTTCTTCATGACGTCTGTTGTACTCATGGTCTTGCTGTACGTCCTGTACCATAACAAGAGCAAAGTTAGCAAAGTGGTAAGTTTGAACAGTTTTATTCAAAATTCAAATAAAAATTATGCTTATGTCTCGAGCGAGTAATTGGTTTTTGTGAAGATGTACATAAAGGTTACAATAGTGAGCTAGTTTACTTTCTTGAGTATAATAATAGTCTGAGAATTACGGTCCGACTGCGGATAAATTCGAATAAATTATAATTCAAGTAACGTTGGACCTACTGCAAAATATGCTTATATGTATTGGTTCTTTAGTTTAGTGGTTCAGTTTTGTGCTTTATAGAACTGCTATTATACTTTACTATTTTGAGCTCGCATAAAACCCTTTTTTCTAAAGGGTTACCATTAACTTACAAATAATTTTTGCATGTTGATTGATAGTGCTATTTGCAATTGTGCATGTGTAATACTTTAACCTCTTGTAGGTCGGTATTTAAGACACTAGAAAACGCATTGTGTCTCGCGTAGATCTAAGCTCCCACACGCCAGAGGTTAATTTAGACAGAATATCTTACATGTTTGTATTTTTTTTCTTCGAAATAGCCGTGATTGAATATTATTTAAGATATCTACATAATAGATATAGATTTATGCGGGGCACACCGCGATACTGGCCTCGCAATGTTCGCGCAGCTCAGCTGTTCATAATGAGTCACATCCTTATCTAGGGTATTAAAATTAACTGTCTGGTCTAACTTTACATGGAGAACTCAACGAAAGAATGTAACCAAAAATTGTATTGTGAACATGATTGAAAAAGAGTAACCTATGGAATTTCTTGCTCGTTCTTCTCCATAGGAATCTACTCTTTGGAACGAGCAAGTTGCTTCACTAGAGGACTGACCTACAGACTGACATTTTTTTCTTATTATTTAATATTTAAATATTTTGTTGTGACGTTCAAAAGTGCCTTCCTGGTCTAATTGAAATAAATGGTTTTGACTTTGACTTTGACTTTGACCGCACGTTACTGGATTGTAAAGGTAGATAGACATTTTAGCCAGAATAAATGTACTATAGGGTTTCCTAATTAATAATGTGAATAAAATTGCAGCGGTATTTAATTGTCCCAATAACATCAGTTGCCTCCCATTTACCTAATTTGTTATCAGTAGGTAAACGTGACAGTTACCGTCATGTTCAAACAATAACAGTTTATATAATGGCTTAGGTATATAAAAACATTTGAACGGAAACTGTCTTTTCATTGTCATTCAAAAGTATTTTTTATTTTTTCCAGTTCTTCGGCTTAATACTGGAAGGACGACAAAGCAGTCGCCGTCGCAACAGCCGAGGTCATGCTTACCGCCGCTTGGACACCCTGGAACAAGCTATGAGCGCCAACACCGCTGCACCGCCGAGCAAGATCATATACTAAAACGCTTAACACTTAGGTAAATCAATCTTTCAGTACATCTACTCAAGGAGAGGTCTGACTGCAAACAAGCTACAGTTTATTGCGTTTAAAAAAATTGGCGCGAAATTCAGTTGCTTGTGGCGGTGTTTAGTGGCGCCATGTTGAATTTTATTTAAACATGGAACGCGTGGATGCCTATGAAGTGGAAGCGAGTATGTGATATGCACCGTTATTTCCTTCTCGAAAATTTCGAGCCAGTAAATTATTTAAATTAAATAAGTTTCTTTTAAAGAGCTTCTATCATAATTATTTTCCATTTTAAAAAGTGGTGTAGTTAATTTTTCGTTAATATTATGTATGTATGTATGTATATATTTAAATAAAGTTATCTAGTCTTGGTATTACCTTATTTAAATCCATTACTTCAGTTATATTTTTATTTTGCGCATTAATTTAGTTTATAAATGGCCAGTGCTATACTATCGGACTCCAAAGAGGAGTAGGAATAAGGTGCAATGCTTGGCCCATTAGGAAACGTGTCAAAAATCTTAGTATTGTTTTTATTTATTTTTTAATTCATAGTTCATCTTCGTTATATTTTACGGATAATACAGGTTATATTTTTATTAAAATTGACAGTACAATAGAGAGCAGTTTGTTTTTTGACAATATCAATTGTTATTAGGAAATGAGACACGGGTTAGAATGTTTAGTTAATTATTATTATTATCAATAAACATTTTCACCTTTTTTATTTATGTTCCCATAAATTAAATAAGGTCGTTTCGTTTTTTGGCTTTATTTTGTCCTTTAAAGTTTTATTAAAATGCGTTGTAACTACACCACATAATATATTTTTCCTTCACTCTCATTCTTACGTCATGATACGAACGTCTGTCACGACTAAAAGCTATAGCAAAGTTGGAAAACCGCTCTTGTAACGAAGAAATAAACACTTTTTTCGATTGTGTTGCTATTATGGTACGAACAACATTCAACGAAACCTCATAATAAGAACGTTGGCACAACTATAGTAGCGCTTTCCTTGTCGGACATGTGTATTATCTAAGAGCAGGACAGAGACAGATAGAAGGACTCCACAATACTTAAAAACCAGTGATCTAATGTAATTTTATTACTACACTAGCTTCTACCCGCGACTTCGTACGCGTAATCCTATTTTTCCCGTCCCCGTTCGTGATTTTCGGTAAAAAGAAAAAAATATTTGGTCAAAAAGTATCCTATGTCCGTCTCCTGGCTCTAAGCTACCTCCCTACCAATTTTCAGCCAAATCTGTTCTGCCGTTCTTGAGTTATAAGTGGTGTAACTAACACGACTTTCTTTTATATATATAGATTATTAAAGAACTAACACAGTCGTGACGACATAATCATATTATTGTTCCATTATTAATATTTATTTGCTTTGAAAACATGCACCAAGTGCCTGTCCTATATAAAGGCATTACCTTCTAAGCAGCTTCATAAGGGTGACAAGTACAACTCTAGGTTAATAGAAAACAACAGCATAAAACAAACGAAAAAAAAATGCTAAGACTTCTCGTAACAGCCTTATAACTTAAACGCCAATCAAAAATGATCTCAAAAGGTCTTCATTTCGTTGTTTGTTTAGATACTCGTATGTTGTAGAGTAGCTTAACGTCACAGAGAAAGTGTGAGATTAAGAACTCTATTTCATTAGAATAGATATCAATGTTGTACGACCAGGTATGAAGGGTATTTCACCTAGTTTCAACTTACGGCTGAAATTCATTGACACTCTACAATAAGTTGGTTACGCAAATTGACTCATGATCCCAAATCGCAAAATGACAAAACCCATGATCTCGATCCACTATCCAAAAGCTGTAGATTAAGGTCGATTTTTGATAGAAACTTCATATACCTAGCTATTGTCAAACATCGATCCTTATCTACAATTTTGCGCACAGAGTTGCGCAACCAACTTGTTCCCGACGGCCAAATCAGTCCGTTTGGTCTGGTGTTTCTGTAGATACCATGGTTGTGGAACAAATCGTACAATAGTGGTGTCTTAATACCCATACTAGAAATTGTAAAAAAAATATTACTCACCAGAGTATTAATACCGTCATACACTTTGTTATTTCTTGACCTTTTGTTAATTCAACCGTTATACTGTTCAGAGGCCATAGTACGAGTTTGTTTTACGTTTAAATTAATGGTAACGAGTACGCGTTCGGCACTGTGATTAGTTGGTTCATTGGTGCCGGCCAATCAGATTGCCGAACTCGTTTTGAATACTTTAAACGTAAATCAAACTCGTACTAACGCCTCAGAGCTCTGATTATTGTAACTTTATAAAATAATGAAATAGTTCCTGGAATGACATAATTTTGATTGGTGTTTTAGTTTTTAGGTAAAACATTTCATTACTTAATTAATTATTCCTTTTTTGACGCTAATGATAGTACTGTTGAGATTTAAATATTATTTCATTTTTTACTTAATTTAATTTAGTTCCTATGTTTAGGTTCGGTTTTTGGACGTAAATTCAAACATTGCTTAATGCATGTTAGTGGTTATAGTATTAGATCTCTCGTATGTTTAAATTGGTAGTAACGTTGAGGCTGTTTGTTTAGGCATGTGTTTGCGCATTCAGAATTATTAAATCCAAGAATATTTTGCCATTAGAAAAACCGCAGTCCACAAATCGTAAATTCGTTTTATTGACAACTGAAATAATATTTAGTGAAAGACTGCAATACATAATGACAATTAAATTAGCTTAAAGAATTTGCGACTTGAGAATTCCAGTACCGATTAATTTCTGAACATGCGCATAATACATAGGTGACATGTAATTTTATAGTAATCCAGGAATAGCGACCTACACGCTAAGATTTTAATAGTGGTTTTTGTGTAGCAGTTTTTTTCTATGGGAAAAAGAAATGAAGAACAGAATGAAGTAAACTGTGCAATACACTGAGCATGAATGTTTATTTTATTTTAAACTTTGTTCTTATTCTAGACAGGGTGTTGTTTAGTTCGAATCGATAATAAGTTACTGTTTTAAAATTGGTTTTACGCAAAACTACCATTAAAATATCAGCCTGTATTATGTCTGATTGTTAGATCTTTAATATCATGCGAAGTTTTAATGCTAAATAGTAATCTTGATAAAATTCTAGTTTAGATTGCATTTTCTTTGCCTTCAACAATCTTTGTTATTTAGTATCAATAATTTCCAATATTCTCGTGTATTCGGCATTTCAATTGTTAATTATTATCAGTAGTACGTAGTTTAATTTTTAACAAATTAATGTTATTATGAGCGTTTAGTAATTATGTCATGAAAACTATACTTATGCTACTTGCACTGTTCGTTAACAAAAGTGTAAATTGTGTACATAATATCATATTGTAACTACCCATAATCACGTCTATACTAATAATGTTATAAAAACATTTGTTTGTTCGCATTTAATAGGCTCCGAATCGGTTGAACCGACCTCATTTTGTTTTTTTGTCATTAAAACTCACCTTTCGGGCAGTAGAGCTACCTCTTATCGCAATATGTTGGGGTCTGTTCTAAAACAAAAAAGCTAGTTATAAAATACTTGTGATAGAGTAGTTTCTCACTGTTTATATTTCAATTTGCGTTTTGGTTCCGGTTGTGACTCGTAGCAATATAGAAATTAAGTATTATCTTACTATTATTATTATAAAGTTCAATTTTACGTAGTTACATTTATGTATATCGAAGCAACACGATTTCACTTTTATTTTATGATGTAATTAATGTTCTAACAAAATGGTGTCCTTTAAGGACTAGTTTAAGATTAGATTTAATTTATTTCACTTTGTATTTATAAATAAAGTTGGAAAATACAATATTCTATTTTACTGTACCTACTTACCTACTAATGTACCTATCCCTAACCTTCCTGTTTATTATTTACAGTAAGATGTCACATGATTTCAACGTACTGTTACTGTTCACTCTTGGACTATCCATAAACGTCATTCGGTAACCTCACTCACACGACATAACACAACGCATGAGTTGTTTTTCTATGTCATCGTCGGTTTTCTATAAGGCCGTGGTATGGCTCCGGTCGAGCTTGGCCTAAACATGGCTGCATTCTCCATTCGTGCCTAAGCAGCCTTCGTGCCTGAATCCATGCCTAAGCATGGCTGCTTAGGCACGAATGGAGAGCCATCTCCACATTTAAATTTTTATGAGATAAGCCGGTAAACGAGCAGACGGATCACCTGATGGTAAGCAATCGGCGTCGCCTATGGACACCTAAAACACCAGAGGCGTTACAAGTGCGCTACCGGTCTTTTGGGGATTAGGAATTTGAAGATTGTTGTGAGTGAAACAGGACAGTTGGATTCAGGGATTGGGGAGATTGGGAAAGGGGTGGTAACCTCATTCACAAGATGAAACATATCGCACGCGTTGGTTCACGTCGGTTTGCTGTGAGGCCGTGGTATCACTCCGGTCGAGCGGGCCCATTTGTGCAGAAGCATGGTTCTCCCACACTTACACTCTTCTCTATAAAACTGATTTACTATAGGTGAGCTCCACGTTTTTATGACATGACCTGTGTTAGGACTTAGGAGTTTGGAGGCTAGTGAGTGATACAGGACAGTTTTTCCTTTTTTGTGAATCTCGACATTGTGGTGCGTCATATTCGTTTTTTTTTTGTATTTGTCCCTGATACGCCCTCTGGATTACAGTTAACGTATTATAATTAAAACGATTTTGTCAATGGTCCCGTCTGCGTTGTAATATGTAACCCCTAACAGGGGATGTAATGATGCGAAGACGATCAAGTAGATGGCGCTAGCTGGATCAGATCTTAACAAAACCAATAATTTAAAGCAACTAACTAGACTAATTTTTAAACTAGACAATTTGGTCTATCTGGCGTACAAATTACATCAAAACCTTGTTCTGATCATTCATGACTTATCTTTACTAAATAATTATACTATACCTAATAATTTATACAGCATAAGATATACAGCACTCTGAGGTCTAAATTTATTGCGTTTATAAAGAAAAACTTGCTTAGTCACCTTGTTTAATACAAAATCCTTCATGCATCTACGGTAAAATTTACATTTGTGACACCATAATCGTATACGTATGCATCATGTTCGTACCCGTGTTACGACAAAGTTGTAGAAAGTTTGTCTTTGTGGGCCACATCTTGGAATCTCCTTGAGAATTCTTAATGGAAGTATGGAGCTAACTCTGTTAATTATCTACGTACCATTGACGACAAGAGACTTAATACATGGTATGCGATTATTTCATCCGTGTTTTAGTGAACCAAAGTAAGTTTGTGGATATCTTTTGAATGAGCTGGTAACTATTGCGTGTGTGATAACACCTTACGCGTCCAAGAAGTGCTCTATCGTGGTTATATGTATAATACGTTTAGTGTTTTAATACATTCTTAGGACGCAAATCGTCCGAATGATTAAGCTACCCCCTTTAACCTTAAGGGCCGGATTTTTTCAACACCAGATACATTTTAAGTGAGGGATAACTTTGAACATTTGTTATTTCTTACATATTAACTCGTCGAGCACCGTCAATATAGACACAATTATAGAACAATAGGTTGCGGTCACCGGTGACCGCTTGGTGTTTGACAGTTTAAAAACTGTCAAATGATAATTTTACTATACAGTTATTTTATGATGATGATGAATAGGTAATCATTAAAATTATAACTAGGTGCAAACCACAGAAATAAAACTTCTAATACCTATTGTACCTAATTAAAAAAGTCGAAAGTTGCCGTAGATTGAACTTGTTCCATACGATTTAAACTAACGGCGAAATACGATTTAAAATTTAATATAAAGCAACCGACGAGAGGTTATAACAGAATCAATTTTGTCTCTTACCTACTATAGGTACTTAGTTCGGTGGTATTTTCATATCCGACCCAAATTGGGTCATCGGAGCCATTTATCAACCTGATTGTTATGAAGTGTCGAGCTATTAATTATTTGTGTAGTGGGTATTTAAAGAAAATGTTGACGTGACGCTGTCATTGTGTTTTTAATGATGTAGAACGAAGACTTTTGGGGAAGAAAATTTAAATTAATTTACCCGACTGCGGTGAAGTTATCATAATGTTGTGACTGTGTAACTGTAGATATTTGTTTGTTTAGTGCGTTTTCTTGTTTGTTT